TTTTTTTTTGAAAATCAGAAAATAACAGATAACTGTAGGCATAATATGCAAAAAAGCACGAGGGTCCGCTTCAGACTGACACATGAGATTAATATGTAATATCCACTGATTAGAAAACTTGCCTTTTTCTTTCTGTAATATACTTCGAAACCGAGTATGTATGCGCCAAACTGATCGCTGTTTAGCTGTAGAAGCGGCTGCACGAATTTGCTTGCCTCCTCAAGCGGGTCAGCGACTTTCAGCAATTTTTCTGGATCAAGAGGCTCCGCTGCGACACCATCTACTTCAGCATCCGGCTAAAACGAGCGCCTTGCTCGAATTCATTTAATAGATCCATAACCAAACTAACAAAGAATAAAATCTGTTAAACAGAACACAAGCCAAGTAACTGTACAATTCAGATAGATAATCGAGTTCCGGTAGTGGGAAATCGCGACTCCTTTGGCATGATAAAAATGCTAATGCTATTTTGGGGCATCCCTTGTGGATAATGCTTGGCTTGATGCCAGCGAGCGCTGGGTAACGTTCCCCAGCGCTCGGTGGCTGGATAACGTGGTTAGGGGTGGTGGAAGGAAGGCTTCTGCGAGTGATGGGCAACAGATAATACTCTGGAGGCAGGAACTGAGGAAGAGATAGAGGACAGGAAAAAGGGTACTAGGCAGGAGTTCAAGACAAGAACCAGAGACAGCAGTAAAGGGACAACACAGCACTACAAAGAAGAGTAAATTAAAACAAAACTGATTTTACGAATAAGGGCGAAAGAAAAAATAAAATCAAAGAATCAGAACCTATGAATGAAAGCAAAAAAAGGCAAAAGTGAGAAGAAACTGCGCCCATATAGATGAGAACTGTCCTGTAAAAACCCGTCGTCAACTTCTCCATTTATGCCCATGCTTAATTTAAGCTGAGAGTGAATAAGTTCAATTGGATTTAAACAAAAATGCCAAACAATAATTCTAAAGTATTGTCTCCAGGAGTATGCGGCTGCGCACGCACTTACACCGCTGTTTTTGCCTCCAAAATCTCACAGAAGCGAAGGCTGACTTCATGCCCACGCATCCCCTCTAATCCTCATTTTGCTCAGTTCAAATTCTACAGTCCAACTTATCCGCCCTCAGCTTCACAAACAGGGAATCCCACTGGCGACGTGTTTTTGTAGGACAATGTTCATTCGCACAGTTTCAGTTTTTTTTTTGCTTTTGCCTTTCTTTGTTTTTATTTATATACGTTCAGATTTTTCTGATTTCGCTTTTTTATGCGTTTTGTGCTGTGTAACAGCAGTACAAAATGCACAGTTGTCACGGGGCTGCGTGTGTGTGTGTGCCCGCAGCAAGCCAAGTGACAAAGGATCTACGCCACGTAGTCACTAAACCCACCTATCCTAGTCCTCCTCCTCAGCTCGAAATCCTGTTGACAAAACTGGCAAAAAATCTCACCTTCTTACCTGTCACAGCGAACGTTTGTCACTCACCGTGGGGTAACGTTACCTGCCATCGCGAAGAAAAATTTTTCGCGATTTGTATATGATGCTGGCCGAGCCAAGTTCTAATAGGTGTCGGATAAGATGCACTCGGAACACATACCCAGACAGATCTCGACAGTATGCGTTTTGTGTAACTGTTACAGCATAAAAAGCATAAGTAGATGCTTACAGATCGCCGTAATGCCTCAAAATGTTACGATTTGTTGCCTTGCAAAAAATGAATGAAAATCTGAAGCAGCCAGTATAAACATACTTTTTTAACATTATGCTGCTTTTGCTTTGCTGCTGCTTCCAAGGCTTCTTTTGCTTTTTCTTTTTTCTGCTTCTTTTTTAATTTTTTTAACTCCGATGCTGTAAGATTGATTTCGCCGTTGTGTTTGTCCGGATTGAAATCATCCGGGCGATCGTACATTCGCAGATAAATCTAAAACATTTCTATATTTTATTAATAGATCTACAGCCGTGCAAGAAGTGTAGGATTTTGCTCACCATGCTGAAAACGATGAGCATCACGCACAAACGACTATCTGCGAGACCTTCAAAAAGATGGTACACACACTTTTATCATACACACTGAAGGTATGCAACTCAGGAGCAAGGGGTCTTGCGCAGCTGTTTTCGGCATCCCAAAAAACATCACTAATAGGTCAGGATCGAAGGGCGTGACATAACACTATGTCCGGCGTGTGGCAGCATCTCTTTTAATCATTAACGTAGGAGAGCACATCGAATGGCTAAACGAATTCAGTAATCTCTGGCACCTAAAAACACGTTTCAAGCAAACAGCAGTTCTGAAGGCACTGTTACTGGCTAAACTCTATGCCTGCATTGTACGTGCAGTGCTGGAAAAAGTCCACGATGAAATAATACAGAGATATTCGAAAGTTAGTAGTAGTTAAAGAGGAAGTGATGTAAGGAAAGAAATAAAGAAAAGGGAAAAGGAAGGAGGAAAAAAGAGGAAATGGAAAAGAAATTTTTAAATTTCTTAAAAATTATTTTTATAAAAACTTTTTCTTAAAGAACTGGTAAGAACCAGTTGTATCTCTGATCAGTTGTAAGAGATAATGTACTCGCATCTCAGTTCACTGTTACTGTTCCGATGAATGTTTTGCACAATATTTCCTTCTATTTGTAGATTAAAACCAACGTCTACCTTTTTTTTAGGTCCCACTCCCATCGCACTGTGAGGCTAACTGTGAGAAAGGCAGTATTGGGCATTTTAAACGCATTATTCAAAGACAAAAATTTTATGGGGTCAATATGTCGAGGGACAGTGCAAAACTAAACGCAAAAAAAAAAAAAAAAAAAAAAAAAAAAAAAAGGGAAA